GGTATGGATTTACATAAAAAGTATAAAATAATCATCGACTGCGGTACTTGCACTTGGCAAATACCAGGGGGTGAAGAACATAAATTTGCACAAAACACTGAGAAAGCACAATGTATTATCGACGCGATAGCAGCCATCGGCGGTCTGAGACCACCCTCGGAGACCCAAAAAGACATCATCAACACCCTAATTATAAAATTAATTCCCCCTACCCCTGAAATATGCAAAGCGGCGAAAATAACGCCACACGTAATCGATGTCCAAGGCCACGCGCCGATAAGACAAAATCCACGACGAATTGCTCACAACTTACTGAAAAAAGCTCACGAAGAAGTAGACCGTCTATATAATGAAGGCATAATAGAGAAAAGCGAAAGCTCGTGGAGTAGTTGCCCTGTTATAGTCCCGAAAAAAGATGGAAAAATTCGATTTTGCATTAACTTTCGAAAAGTCAATATGATCACGAAAAAGGATGCATACTCAAGAACAAGGATGCGACTCAATACTCGACAATCTTCGAAATGCAGAATTTTTGTCCAAAATCGACCTATCCCAGGCTTACCATCAAATTCCTCTACACCCAGACAGTTAAGAAATAACAGCATTCGCGGTTCAAGGAAAAGGGTTGTTCCATTATAAACGCCTCCCCTACGGATTAACCAATGCACCAGCCTCGTTCCAACGAGCAATGGACAATTTATTCGGCCCAGAATGGCAGCCACATGTGTTTATTTATATAGATGACATTATTATAGCAACAGCAACTTTCGAAGAGCACAGATTTTGGCTCGAAAAAGTAATAGAAAAGTTAAACGAAGTAGACTTAACAATCAACAAAAAGAAATCGAAATTCTGTTGCGAACAAGTACAATTCTTGGGATATGTAGTCGATCGAGAGGGATTGAAAACCGACCCAGACAAAATTCGAGCTGTATTGGACTGTGCCAGGCCAAAAACAATGAAGCAATTAAAAAGTTTCATGGGAATGGTCGGATGGTACAGTAGATTCATAAAAGACATAGCGGACATAAGGACACCGCTAACGAAATTGACACAGAAAAATGTTACCTGGCACTGGGGAGAAGAGCAAGAAAATGCTTTTCAAACACTGAAGAAAAAACTCACTGAAGCCACAGTATTGGCAAGACCTGACCCGGATAAAACCTTCACGATACAGACCGATGCTAGTAATTACGCCCTTGGCGCTGTCTTGACACAGGAATTCGACGGTGAAGAGCATTCGATAGCATACGCCAGTCGGGCTCTCACTAAGCAAGAACGTAATTACACGGTTACTGAGAAGGAATGTCTGGCAGTCTTATGGGCAGTGGAAAAATATCGCGGCTATATTTTAGGCACAAATTTCAAGGTGATCACAGATCACGCGAGCCTAAAATGGTTACACAACCTTCGCGATCCTTCTGGTAGACTGGCGCGATGGGCGACAGCCCTGCAAGCCTACAACATGGATATTTTTCACCGTAAAGGAGCCTTCCATAAAGTCCCTGATTATCTGTCCCTTTCGATTGATGAAATAGCAGCAATAAAATCAAAAGACACAATCGAGGACCTTTGGTATGCGAAATTATTACGCGAAGTTGAAATTAAGCCCGATAAATATCCCGACTATAGAATTGACAATAATTTATTATACATACATCGTCCCAAATCATTGAAAGACCCATTATTACCCGACTTGAACAGCTGGAAGCTAGTAGTACCCGCGGAGAATAGAAAAACAGTACTACACGACAAGCATAATACACCTCAAGCAGGTCATTTAGGTAGAGAAAAGACATTTGAAAAACTTGCTCTCCTATATTTTTGGCCGAAAATGCGCTCGAACGTATATAATTACGTGCGCAGATGCAAGATGTGTCAATTGCATAAATCATCGCAGCAACAGCCGAAGGGACTAATGGGCAAAAGGGAAATAGAAGGTCCTTGGACTCACGTCGCTTCAGACGTGATGGGACCTCTGCCTCGCAGTAAAGCTGGCAATAGCTGCATAGTTGTATTTCAAGATTTGTTCACAAAATATATTGAGGTAAAGCCGATGCGCAAGGCCAACGCATCGACGATACTGCATAATTTCGAGGAGCAGATCTTGTTTCGTTGGGGCTGCCCGAAGTACCTGATAACGGACAATGGGACAATATACTCGAATAGGGCAATGTCAAAAAGGATGCTTGAGCTCGGCATCCACCAAACGACAATAGTCGCCTATCGCCCTCAGGCGAACCCAACTGAACGAGTAAATAGAACCTTTAAAACAATGATTTCAATGTTTGTAGACCAAGACCATAGCACCTGGGACGATACACATAATATTGTATATAAAAGAATTGACATCTGCATTTAATAATGCGTTCGGTACATCAACCGGTTTCTCACCCGCATACTTAAATTTTGGACGAAACCCTCGCACCATAGTAACGATCCGCAATGAACTTGAAAATGCACCATTTTCGCTTGAATCACTAACACCTGAAATGTGGGCGGATCGCATGAGTCGCTTACCGGCGATATATGATTTTGTTCGAAAAAATCTAGCAAAAGCGAATGAAAACAGGCAAAGTATTACAACGCGAATAGAAAAGAAATATCATTTGAAATCAACGATCTTGTAGTCCGAAAAAATCACACGCTATCATCGAAAGCTGATAAGCGTGCGAAAAAACTTGACCCGAAATATCGACCGAGTAAAATAATTAAAAAGATTTCACCGGTTATATACATGGTAAAAGATGAGGACAATAGGGAAACACAGGTGCATGTAAACGATCTGAAACCGTATCAACCCGAGTTGTACAATTTGACACAATCACAGACACGATCGAAAAATGAAAATAGCTCCGAAACAAAAAAAGTCAAAAATCAAAAGAAACAAATTGATAAGGCAGTCAACACAACATCACAGGTAGAGAATTTGACTGAACATAATGAAACTGATTGTGAAGAATCAAACATCAAGCATAGATTGCGTCGACGACAACCAAATTCGACGAAGAAGTTAAATTAAATGCTCGACAATCATACACAATTCAAAACGTTACACAACACACTCGAACATAGGTGACGACTGTGACAGCTGTCGAGTCATATACAAGTACGTAACGATCGAAGTAGTGACATCACCGACGCATTACACGGCTGCAGCAAAAGACAGTAGTCGAAAAATAAAATAAAGTTAAAAAAGGTACAAAGGCAAGGACATGAGGGACATCAAAGTTAAAAACCTGCGTGTCCGGGGCGACCCAAGGCCGCAAAATAAAGAGGTCGTACATAGGTAAACGGCGTCCAGAAAAATTGACCTGTGCAAGTGCACCGAATAGCAGCGTCGACACGCAACAGCATCAGCTAACCTCTAACCAACCCTCAGACGTGCCCCAAGTGTTCCCTCTGACCCCTATGATCGTCGAATACGTTCCCCTACGACAACCAAATGTAGCCTTGGCGAGAGCGCTACCTAACCTCTCCGAGTCAGCGACCATGAGTGCATAGGCACCACCGTCAACAACAACACCTCGACCACCTGTCATCACAACATCGACTCCGAGTGCATCAGCTCCACTTCCTATGACAACACCAACCCCGCTTGTCGAAACAACAATGACCCCAGAGGAGCAATGGGAAGCAGTGATGCGAAAGTTGAAAGAAATTACAAAAAAGGAAATGGAACTCGATAAAGCGTGGAACGAAAGGGAAAAGACTGCGAGTCAGCAACAGGATGTGACAAGTGGACGAGAAAGAGAAGCAGTACAACAACCAGTTCAGCCAATGGCCCCAGCAGTGGTGTCGCCAGCAGCTTTGCCAGCGCCATCAGCAGCAGCACAGCCAACGGCTCCAGCAGTGGTGTTGCCGGCAGCCTTGCCCAGCGGTGGCACTGCCAGTGGCTCCAGAGGCAGTGATATCAGCACCAGCACCAGCAGGTCTAGCAAGGAGAACCCTGCTGGAGGAAGCAAGAGCAAGACAACAGGCCAGAATAGAGAGAGAGCCCATGGACCTCATCTGCTTCAGGTGTCAGGAGCGGGGACACGTGCAGAGGCATTGCACGAGAAACAGTGTAGGCAGGTACTGTTTTAAATGTAGCGCAGTTGGCTACGACACCATGTCATGCCCATATTGTGCCAAATACCAGAAGAGAGCAGTAGAAAATGCTTCAATAGACGTGGTACCTTCCCTACTCGACCTGGACTTCTCCCACTTAACTCTAATAGAAGATGAAAAAGGTAGAAAGAGACTCGTCAACAATCAATAGATAGTAAAGATAAGAAACTTTAAAGTACAATTGAGAAGATTTTGTTTTTGAAAGTACAATTAGCAAGTAGGAAAAGAAAAAATCAAAGAAAGAAAAATGTTTTAAGTTACTCTAATTAAAGATTATAATTTAGTTCATTAGAAAGTAGAAAAAAAATCAAGAAAAAAAAACACTTTTAATTTTAACTGATTAATAAGTTGAATTCAGTTCATCTCAAACAAAAAAAAAAAATTTGAAGTTTGATTTAAGTTAATTATTGCAAATTAGTGCTGTTGAGTTATTGCTCAGTTTCGGTAGGTGAGGCGCGACTGTGTTGGGCGCTGGATGGGAGAAATACCGTGAAGAAACGTCGTGTCTGTGCGTATACCTGTTAGTTGCCGATCAGTCAGCTTGTTCGGTGGGTCGAAGCTCAAAAAGAAGCCCATCCAGCTCTCATCAGAGTCGCGCGTCACTCGCTTTTTTCGCCGACTGGCCATTACGCATTACCGACTATTACAACGTTAATAAATTTATTACGTTTTCTTGTTTAATTCATCGGTCGCAGTCGTTTATTATCCTACAACGGAACATTTGGTAGCAGAGAGTGGTTTGTTTTGATTTTCGCTAACACTTGAGTGTGTAGTCGACGGGCTCTGAACGTAAAGCAACGGTTCAGACAGTCGATTGACCACAGCTTGTTTACAAATTCAAACTCGCCTAAGAAAAGACCAACGGATTTTCACTCGAATATCAGCACAGGATGGCGGGGTCACTTTTGAAGGTTCAGTTGGACGTGGCCAAGAACATAATGAATTTTTATGAAAACTCAACCAGTAAGGTCGGAGCACAAAGACAAACCTTGTCGCACTTCTGAGCTCGACTCGAATTGCTCGAAGTTTATTGGAAGTCGTTCATCGGGAGGCACGACGAACTCCTGGGTCATGCTGACGACCTCAGTCAGCAAGAGTACTTCGTCAAGGACTGTTATGGCCTCACCGAAGACAATTACACTGGCGCCAAGGCACTCATAATGGATCATATTGCCGCATTGACTCCGCAAGCTCCACCGGCCTTCCCGACTGGAACCGAACGCCTGGGACGCCCTGTCGAACAATTGGTGGTCCCGCTGCCGGCACTCGCGCTGCCGACTTTCACGGGAAAGCAGGAAGAGTGGGAAAGCTTCAAACAGCGCTTTTCATCTCTGGTGCGAGACAAGGAGACCATACCAGATGTCGCCAAGCTTCAACATCTCCTGAACGCGGTACAAGGCCCAGCGGCGCTTCGGTTAAAAGGACTGGAGATCACTGCCGCCAACTTCGATGTTGCTTGGGAAAAGCTGGTGCGGCGCTACGACAATCAGCGCATTCGCTTGTACACGGCATTGGAGAATCTCATGCAGCTGCCGTTGGTGAAGTCGCGCACTGCGGATGAGCTCAATAATCTGATCGATAGGACAGAGGAGGCCGTTCGTTCGCTGCAGGAATTGCGGTGCCCTGTCCAGGAGTACGACAATTGGTTTGTCCACTGCGTTGTTCGTAAGCTCGACGCAAATTCGCGTGAGTCGTGGGAGATCTCACGTGAGGAGACCAACGAGTTTCCGAAGTACCTTGACCTGATCCTGTTCCTCGAGCGTCGTGTGCAATCGCTGGAGCAGGCACGACCATCGGCAGAGCCTGCAGCGACGGCCAGCCAGGGCTCTCGTGATCGAGGTTACGGACAGCGGCGCGTTGCAGCTAACGCTGCTCGAGTCGAGGATGCATCTACAGGCAGACCAGGACCGTTGTGCGACATTTGCCAGACGGGCCACTGGCTTCATAAGTGCTTCAGGTTTTTGGGCATGTCGCAGCAGCATCGACTTGAATTGTGCAAGGCGAAGCGATTATGTTTAAATTGCCTGCACAAATCGCATTTCATCGACAAGTGCCCGTCGGCTTCCCGATGCCTCATCTGCCAGGCTAAGCACCATACCAAGCTTCACACGGACAAACCAGGTCGGCCAGGACACGGAAACAGCAGCGCCGCGGAAGATGGTACCGCGAGCAACATAAGTGCTCGATCAGAGGAGGATCACGGAAGCTCGGTGAATGCGTTCACGACGACGATCGGTTCTAAGGTTCTGCTGGCGACTGCCATGGTGCATCTCATGACCGCGGACGGCCAGCTGCTGTCAGTCAGGGCTCTCATTGATCCAGCTGCGGAGAGAAGCTTCATCACCCGTCGGGCAGCAGCGCAATTGAATTTGCCAACTCGGCGCATTTCGTCGTCGATCATAGGGCTCGGCGCCGCGGTTTCTGCGAGAGCGAGCACTGAGCTGTGCCTTCAGGTGAGATCTCCGAGGACGCCGACCTTTGCGCTGCAGACCTCGGCGCTGATACTTGCGGAGCTCACGGACTTCTTGCCGAAGAATTGAATTAAGCTCGAGGCTTGGCCTTATCTACGTGAACTAGAGCTGGCCGATCCTCGCTTCGGCGTGCCCGCGCGAGTGGATATCGTGCTCGCCGCTGATGTGTTTCCTCAGCTAATTCTGGACGGTATCGTCAAGGGGCCTGATGGAGCTCCGGTCGCTCAAAAGACAGTCTTCGGGTGGATTCTCACGGGAGCTACGTCGTCGAGTGCTGCCGGTGGTGGTCACGCCGTTCGGGCTTTTCACACTTCTGTTGGGCCATCCATCTCCAGTATTGTGTCAAAGCTGTGGGAAATCGACGACGTCCCGTCCAGGCCGCATCTTTCTGAGGACGAGAAGCGTTGTGAAGAGCTTTTCGTGCAAAGCCATTACCGTGACAGCGCTGGAAGATTTGTGGTGCGTTTGCCGTTTGCACGCAGAGCCGACTTCAGCAAGTCAAGGTTTGCGGCTCAGTCGTGTCTCTTGAGGATGGAACGCCGCTTTGAAAAGGACTCACGATTGCGCGACGTGTATTCGGCCTTCATGACCGAATATATCGAGCTTGGACATATGGAATGTGTGCCACAGCGGCAGCTTCAGCGACCGGGCGCCTACCTGCCTCACCACGGAGTGTTTCGAGCGGACAATCCCAGCAAGATTCGCGTAGTATTTAACGCTTCACATAAGTCCAGTGACGGACGCTCACTAAACGATCAACTGTTGACCGGGCCCAAATTGCAAACAGACATCACAGTGGTACTGTCAAACTGGCGGTTTTTTGAATTTGCAGGCACAACTGATGTCGAAAAGATGTTTCGACAGATACGCGTGCACGAGGACGATGTCGATTGGCAGCGTGTGCTTTGGCGAGCCAGCCCGTCGGAGCCGATACGTGATTTTCGCTGCACGACGGTGACCTACGGGACTGCGGCAGCCCCATTTTTGGCTTTGCGCGTCATGAGGCAACTCGCGGAGGACGGACGTGAGGATTACCCGGAGGCCTCAGAGGTGCTTCGTCATCAACTTTACGTCGATGACATATTTTTTGGCGCAGGATCTGTGGAAGAGGCAATACGCCGAAGAAACGAGCTCATTGCCATGCTCGCATCGGCTGGCATGAGACTGGCCAAGTGGGCTGCATCGCACGGTCGCATTGTTGAGGATCTTGCGGAGTCATCACCGGAGGCTGTTGCGTTGAAAATGGATGAGGCGGTATCTACGCTTGGATTGAGGTGGCTGCCCGGGCTGGATTGCTTCTCCTTTCAGTTCAGGCCTATCCTCACTTCATCTCCTGCCACGCGACGTACGGTGCTGTCTGACATCGCTAGAACTTTCGATCCAATGGGATGGCTGTCTCCGGTGCTAGTTGTGGCCAAGATTTTGCTGCAGGACATCTGTATTGACGGCTCGGATTGGGACACACCGATCGCGGGGCCCTTGGACCAACAGTGGAGTGATTTTTGCGTCGCTCTGGACGATGTCTCCAGCATACGGGTGCCTCGATGGTTTGGCACTTCGGAGACGAGCGCGTGGCATCTGCACGCTTTTGCGGACGCCTCGAAGAGAGCATATGCTGCTGCGCTTTACGCAGTAACTCCGTCGATGACATCCCGACTTATCGTGGCGAAGACCAACTTGGCACCGACCAAGGTGCAGACAGTGCCAAGGCTGGAACTTTGCGTGGCCGCTCTGCTCGTCCGCCTCGTCAGGAGCCTGCTTGACAGTCTCAGATTCCCTCCGGTGCGCATCTTCTGCTGGTCTGACTCAAGTGTCGTGCTCGAGTGGATTCGAGGACACCCTTCAAGGTGGCCAACTTTCGTGGCTAATCGGGTCAGCGACATCCAAACTGGCCTGCCGGACGCTTCCTGGCGGCACGTGCGGACAATGGACAACCCGGCCGACTGTGCAACTAGAGGATTGTCGCCGCTTGACTTGGCCGCATTTTCTCTTTGGTGGACTGGACCACCTTGGATTCTCGACGAGGAGACGACTTGGCCGGCATCGATTGTACCGCCTGATCAGAGTGTGCAGGTCATGATCGCACGGCAGGCTCCGCCGCCGGCCGCTGCTGGCTGTCTACCAGATTTTAGTTCATTTTCCAGCTTCAACAGGATGGTGAGGGTGCTGTGTTGTTGTCGTCGATGGCTGACGGTTCTCCGGCGAGGAGAAGCGACGATCTCGCGGGCTGAGAGTTGGCGACTGGCCGAGTGCTTGTGCTTTCGTCTGATACAGGCACATCACTTCGCAGACGACGTCGCGGAGGTCATCACGTCTGGAAGAAGACTGCCCAAGCGAAGTCATTTGGCGAAGCTTCACCCCTTCGTCGATTCTGAGGGCCTGATTCGAGTTGGTGGGCGATTGCAGCATGCTCCGTTGTCGTATGACGAGAAGTACCCGATCATTTTGCCAGGACGCTGTTTGATTGTGAAGAGATTGATCGAGCGGGCTCATAGCGACACTCTTCATGGCGGTCCGCAGCTTATGCGCTCACACCTTGGTCGCAAATTTTGGATTATCCGAGGCACTCGCATTATTCACGCAATTTACCAAAACTGCGTTCGCTGCACTCGTTTTCGAGCCGTTGCAATGGAGCAACAGATGGGACCATTGCCGGCCGTTCGAGTTACTCCCGGGCGACCTTTTCAGGCGACCGGACTGGATTATGCCGGGCCGCTGCCTGTTTTATTTTCAAAGGCCCGTAAGGCTCCGTCCACGAAAGGATACATCGCCATATTTATATGCTTGGTGGTTCGAGCAGTCCATGTGGAGGTGGTGTCAGACTTGAGTACCAATGCGTTCCTCGCCGCGTTTTCCCGCTTCTGTGCTCGAAGAGGAAAGCCTGCGGTTCTATACTCGGACAACGCCACCACGTTCAAGGGAGCATCGCGAGAGCTTCGTCATCTTTTCGCCCAAAGTTCGCCTCTGCGCCGGCGTGCCAGTAATCTTATGTTAGAAAAAGGCATGATTGGAAGTTTATCCCTCCTCGAGCACCGCACTTCGGCGGTTTATGGGAGGCGGCCGTTCGAAGCTTCAAGCACCATCTGCGGCGGGTGATCGGCGACGCGAGGCTCACTTTCAAGGAGCTTTCCACGGTAGCTGCGCGCATCGAGGCGTGCTTGAATTCTCGCCCCCTCTGCCCTCACAGTAGCCGACCAGATGACTTTGAGGCTCTTACCCCGGCTCATTTTCTAGTGGAGTCTTCGCTACTGGACTACCCTGAGCTTTTCGATGAGCGCACCCTTAGTTTCACGAGCCGCTGGAGGTTGTTGCGTGGCATGCGTGACCTATTCTGGAGTCGCTGGCGGCGAGAGGTGCTCACCCAGATGCAGCAGAGGAGTAAGTGGTTAACGACTCAGGAGAGCTTGAAACCAGGTGATATGGTGCTCCTGAAGGACGATCTATGTCCGCCTTCGGCGTGGCCGCTGGCGCGCGTCGACCAGGTTCATCCGGGCTCTGATGGACTGGTAAGAGTCGCTACCATTCGGACAGCAGATTCGACTTTTACGCGCCCAATCGTCAAGCTTATCAAATTGCCAACCGACGTTGAGGCCGAAGAATATTATTGTCACCTCCAAGAAAAGGCGAAGAAAAAATAAATTTGTTGTGATTATCAAATTACGAGAAACATTTGTCGGGAATCAGTTTGTCAGCCCAATTATGTTATTGTTTTATATTTTGTATTTTATTATTTGTACTCATTGAGTAATTTGTTTATCATGATTTTTAAAAAAAAATTTTTAATTGTTTGGAGATGTATTGCCGCTACATTGCGTCAACGCGGGCGGTATGTTGAGTTATTGCTCAGTTTCGGTAGGTGAGGCGAGACTGTGTTGGGCGCTGGATGGGAGAAATACCGTGAAGAAACGTCGTGTCTGTGCGTATACCTGTTAGTTGCCGATCAGTCAGCTTGTTCGGTGGGTCGAAGCTCAAAAAGAAGCCCATCCAGCTCTCATCAGAGTCGCGCGTCACTCGCTTTTTTCGCCGACTGGCCATTACGCATTACCGACTATTACAACGTTAATAAATTTATTACGTTTTCTTGTTTAATTCATCGGTCGCAGTCGTTTATTATCCTACAACGGAACAAGTGCATTTGATATAAAAAAGAAAAAAAAAGGAAGATTATATAGAAAAAACTTAGTATGTGAATCAAAAACAAAAAAACAAAAATGTAGAGATCACAAGCAAAATGTACAAATCTGAATTAATCAAATATTGAAATAGTGTATAACTTAAAATATCTCCTTCATTCATTCATTTATCCCTAACAACAATAGTTCTCACATATTTCACACAAACAGTCTTCACACACAACAACAACAATATAAATAGTATCAAATAATCAACAATAAAAAAAATAAATAACAATAATAGTGTTGCACACATTTGCCAAACGTGTAAGAATAAGTAATAGATAAGTACTAGATAAAAATATTGCACTAACACTAGATAAATTGCCGACTAGAAAGTAAAAAATTATTGCATACAGCAACCTATGAGCTGTCACAATGTAAGTGAGGAACAACAATTAAATCAAATAACAATACATGTTGACTAGAAAACTGACTAGATTAATAAAAATCAAACTCTCAGCAAATGCAAGAGTAAATTAAATGAAGGAAAAGGTTGAATGAAGTAATAAATTAGTTAATAACAAAAGAAAGAAAAATAAGAATAAAAGAAAAATCACTTGCATAGGCTGAGAGAGTGAAAGTAAATAATATGTACAACAAAACAACAAATGCAGAGGCTGAGTGCAACTGACGTTCACAACAATAAATTGACATTAAAACAAACTAAGACAAACAATAAAACAACAGATAAATATAAAAGCAAAAATTGAATCATGAATAGTTAAAGTGAACGACAGTTGACACACAAAAGTATAGTTTATAGATTTAAGGTAGTTATATAAGAATTATACACACATGTACTGAAAAATAAGATATTCAATTTGACTGGGTAGTTATATAAATCATACAATTGCACGGACCCGTTAGAAAATTTTTGCGCTGAACGATTTACATAGGACAACAAAGGAATAAACTTGCACAATCACAAGGGGCAGACGCGAGGGCAGACGAATCGAGTCACGGTTATCACGCGCATCTCTTAATGTTAGCCCATGCAATCAAACTGCACACAAGCACTGGTTGCACTTGTTAAACACTTTGCACTGAGCCCTACAAGTCGAGTCTTTCCTCATAGCCCCGGGTGCTCTCT